TGCTGACCAGCTGTTGCTGATAGTGCCCAAGACCAGGCTCAAAACCAGAGGGCACCGAGCCTTCGCAGCAGCTGGCCCCAGGCTCTGGAACACTCTGCCCCTCCATGTGAGGTCGGCCCAGACCCTAGGGGTTTTTAAATCCTCACTAAAGACTCACTTCTTCTCCCTGGCCTTCTAGTCAGAGCGGAGCACGACTCCTGACATTTCCCTGTGTTTGATTTTTATATTTGCTGTTATTTATTATTTGCATGTACAGCACTTTGGCTCGACCAAAAATCGTTTTTAAAATGTGCTATATAAATAAAACCTGATTTATTAAACAAGGGAAATGTTCCTTAGAAAAAGGGCTCAATATAAACTAGGTATCCATTTGGGAAGTGCTGCTGATCCTTTTTGTTTCACATTTAGTATCGAGGAAACGTCAGTGAAATCTTATCTGGTGCACATCCTGTCAGGATTACTGACATGGCTGATTTTAAATGTGATTCAAACGGCAGCTACATAGTATTTACACTAACACCCTACTTCTGTAAATGTTTCCTGTTGGAAAGGGGCTTAAGAGTAATCAAAACAATCCAGTGTTTTAAATGAAATGGTGCACATCAGCCTGTGGAACAAACTGTGTTCTGCCTGCCTGTGTGATCTGTTCATCTGGTATTTTAATATCCTTAATCCGGTGTTTTCCACAGGGCCTTGTTCACCTATGAGGGAAACAGTAATGATATCCGCCTGGCAGAGAAAGGAGGTGAGTAACCGAGCTGAAATAGTTATCACGTTTTTATTATCTCAACATGGTAATATGAAAAGTGTGCCGGAATTTCGTTGTCAGCGTACAGCTGGAATATCTGCACAAAAGGAGTGCTTGCCTCTGCTTTCTCACCCAGACATTTGTAAGAGGAAAAATGTCCACAGTTACAAAACCAACCACAGTAACCACTTGACTTTTCCACCATGTTTATGCTTCAGATGGAGGACTGGAGGAGTTGGTTGAGGAGTTGAACAGTGGAAAAATTATGTACGCTTTCTGCCGGGTCCTGGATCCAAATTCTGGCCTCCCTAAATATGTCCTCATCAACTGGGTTTGTGTTTCACTTAACTATCCTGTGTTTGTTTGTCCTCCTTTTTAAGTGGCCATCCCTTAACTTGTAGAGTATCTCTTTATGTTTCAGACTGGGGAAGGAGTAAAGGACGCGAGGAAAGGGCAATGTGCACATCACGTCAGCTCCATGGCTACTTTCCTCAGGGTGAAACTCTACACATTTGACTCAAGTCTAGTTTTAATATGCATTTGAATGTCTGTTTATGTTTGCAGAGGTTATTTTGAATTCTAAATTGCATGTTGTTGATGGGTTTTAAGCTGGACTTTAAAACAGAAATGCTATGAGAATGTTGCACAGCTTACTGCATGTGTTATTGTAAAGATAAACAACTTTTCTGTGAGTTATATCAACCAGCATACAATGCATGTAAACAAACTATTGTGTGGTGCATGCATAGACCAAGATAACAATTGTAGGTGTTCACCCTGTGAATCTAACTTGTATTCCCTGCTGCTTCAGGGAGCCCATGTAACTATAAATGCCAGAGCAGAGGATGACGTGGAGCCCGAGGTGATCATGGAAAAGGTGGCCAAAGCTTCAGGAGCGAACTACAGCTTCCACAAAGAAGCCCCCAGCCGCTTCCAGGACAGCGGCCCTCAGGGTCCCGTGGTATGCAGCGCATGCATTTCCTGCCTTGTGCCCTTCGGTTTGCTTTTGTTTCATGCTAGAGAGATAAGCAAAGGGATAGATCTTAACTAGGCTTCATAATCTAAAAGAAAGGGTTACTCTTTGTTTTGCCATTCATTCACACATGCTTCAAAATAAAACATTTGGAAATGGCTGGCCTATAAGAAAGTGTATCATGCTTTGGTTCAGAGGAAGCAACCATTGGTTTGTATTTGATAGTCATTAAAAGATCAAAACATAAGATAGTTACAAAATGATAATGAAATGTATTTTCCTTCTCGTAGGGCTCAGTGTACCAGAAGACCAACGCCATGTCTGAAATTAAAAGGACCAACAAAGACAACTTCTGGGCTCAGACAGAGGTAAGCTGCGCTTCGGACTAAAACATCATGAGTGTCAGAGTACCTCAATCATCTTTAAAAAAAAATGACTCTCTAAGAAATGTGTTCTTTTAATGTAAGATGTTTTGGATTCATTGATTCCAAAACCACTCTTGAAATTGCAGAATCTGCAAAAGTGCAGGAGTTTTTAAGACATTTGACACATATTTTCATTTTTCGCAAAAGCCTTAAAAAAATCCAAGGCATGCAGTTTTTATCCATCGCGTTCTTAGTCAGCGAAGGCATTGTTGGAACCTTTTCCTTTGTCTGCAGTTTTGGCTCATCCCCTTACCTGTCACAGATAGAAAGTGGTGCTCATTGCCTTGCACTTTTACTTGGATAAACTATTCTGAAATCAAGCTTTTTAGTGGCTGTAATATAAGCAAATTACCAAATTCATTGTCGACCTTGTTGGTCCGTTTGGTTTTTAGAAAGACGAGGAGAAACGACGCAAGGAGGAGCGAGCCAAAGCAGACGATGAGCGCCAGCACCTGGAGAAAGAGAGGAAGGACCGAGAGGCCAAAGAGGCAGGGCAGAGGGAGAAGAGGGACAAGGAGAAGGCGTCTCAAATCGACGAACAAAAGTAGGTATCAGCCGGTGGAAATACACAAGGCCAGTTTAATGTAGCACATGTTGAAGGGTTGACATTACCAGTGGTCAACAAAGTAAAAGTACCAATACCACAATGTAGAAATACTTACAATTTAAAGTCCTTCATTCAAAATGTTGCTTGCGTTAAAGCAGGGGTGTCAAACTAAATTTCATCGCGGGCCACATTCGCATAAAGGTTGCACTCAAAGGGCCGGTTGTAACTATATAAATATATAAAATATAATATATAAATAATGTATTATATTACATTATTGCCTCTGAATTAGATTATTATCGGATAGGATATTAACTTAGTAATTAACTACGTCTGAAAGCAGAAGTCCAGGGCAAATAATTGCAAGTCTCTTCAGTGCGCATGTCACAAAACGAGATGCATTGTGGGACATGTAGTTTATGGGCAACCTGCTTCCGTAAAGTGGCATGTAACCGTATAATAAACGTATTATATTCTTTGCAAGGTCTTGAGGGGCCACATAAAATGAAGTCGCGGGCCGGATTTGGCCCCCGGGCTTTGAGTTTGAGACCCCTGCATTAAAGTATAAAAGTTAGCATCAACATGTACTTGTGGTACAAAGAGTATGGGTACTCATTCAGCACTGGCTCATGTCAAAAATATATATATTATTTTACTGTAATATATTTGTTGATGTGTTCAACACTCTCCTGTTGCAGCTGGTAAAGCAAAACAAATGTATCTTAACCTCTTAATAGTACATAATACATGTAAATAACAATATTTATCTCTGAACTGTAATAGATTATAAGTATATAAGTAGCAGGAAATGGACTTGCTCTGGTGAATTAAAAGTACTTAAAAGTTGTACTTAGGTAGAGCACATTTAAGTTCATGCTCTTAGTTACTGTCCACCACTGCAAATGGCGTGTATAGATATGTAATATTTGTTCTTATTTGTTCGACAGGAAGTACCAGCAGAAGCAGGATTCAACCACTAAAGAGCAGGAGAAACAACGCTATGTGAGTGAAGGACAAAATGTCGCTCTGAGTTAATGTGTTTCAACTGCAAGAGGAAGTGTCAGTGTGGACTGGTGTGAAATGAACTTTCCTATATAGCGTTTCTTTGATAATGCATGTAGTTAGAACTGTTTTGGTAGTGCACACATTTCATTGAGTTAGAAAGGTAGATGGTGTCAGCAGTGTCAACATTGGTATCGACATCATCATCAGGAGGAGGAGAACCAGGCAGCCCAGAAGAAGGGAATCAAGAGAGGTGAATCTGTGGAAAAGGCCAACGTGAGTTCCCCTTCCTGAAAGTGCTCTCTTCTGGCCAAACTACTTCCTGTTCTCTCGCTTACCTCAAAACAAGTTCTAGTGTCTTTGAAGCTCAACGTAACACACCTTCCATTTTCCAGCCTTTACTGCGTGGTGTCTCCTTTCTCTGTGATCACTAACGGAAAACGACATCTGTCTGTTGTGTCGTTTTTTTTCTCTGCAACACTTCCCACTACATTATTAATAACCCGAGGCTGTCTAATTCTTATTGTTCCTATTGTGGCTTCTTTTTTCCCCAGGAGGCGGCTTCTCTCATCTCTCAGCGCGCTTCAAACCCAAGAGAGATGTTCAAGCAGAGAGAGAGAGGAATAACTCCCAGTGACTCTGACGTCCCCTCTGTTCGCCCCGTCAGCCCCCAGCCAGGTACCAACCTCTACATATAATCTGTTGGCTTTAAATGTCTCAGCCCTTCCTGCCATGCACAGGGTTTCTGCTAGAGGAGATATCTGCCCCACGCTGTCTTTTTCATAGCTCTCACTTTCCTTCAGACTTCTTTTTTGTGTCATACTTAACGCGGTGCCTCCATCATGTGGCGTCTTCTCTTCCTCTGCTTAACCGGTCTGCACTTTTTCCCTCTCGTCCATTTCTTTTTGGACTTTTTGGTGGCTCCGTATGTGTCTCTGCTTAGGGCGTCTGCAAAGCCCTTTCCTGGCTAAGCCGGGGTATGAAGCTGAACGAGCCGAATCCCCTCAGCGCCAAGCTTCTCCTCTGCCAGCCGGCTCCGCCTCTCCTGTCCGTGCCACAGGTGTGAGCTTAGAGCACACACACACACACACACACACACACACACATACACACGCGCAATTATACAAGTGGAAAGAATGCATACACAACATATCGGGTGGCAGTCTCATACTTCACTAAATGCCTCATTTCTCATTGTTTGTGTGTCTGATCATCTTCATAATCCTTGTGATCACAAACATCATGAGTCATGCTTCCATTCAACGCACTTTTTGTTTCCCTAAGAAATCAGATGATGTGTTGTTACTCCTCAAGTCCCAACAGCTCCTATCTGTGAGTTGGGCGGGGCTCTCCTGCCTGTGTGGACCTGTGAGTGTGTTCCCTGTGTCCATGCATGTCTGTGCTTGTGTTTTGGGTGATAAGAGCCTGATGTGGATGACGGACAGTCCAGGTGTGAGTATGAGGAGCAGCAGGAGGAGCAGGAGGAGGCTCCTCTGCCGCAGGAGCAGGTTGAAGGTGGGGCTCATTTCACACCACCCTCACTGTTAAGCATCAGCATTGCAACCGTCCCATCTGCATCGCATGAAACATTTTGTTTGTTATAAACACATAATGTTCCCTTCACCTGAGCTGCCAGGATCAGCTGCTGCTGCTGCCCCCTGCTGGTTATCAGACAGCACTGACTGTAATCTCTCTTTTCAGAGGAGGCACCAGCTGCCCACATCCAGGTGGCTCCTAAAGAGCCTGCTCAGGTGATTGTTTATTCCCCTTTTAACAGGAAATGCTATGCCTGTTTTCTTCCTTCATATCAATAATTCTGAAATGCATCTTTATTCCAGCCCGAGGTGGAGGAGAACAACGTCGAGGAGGTGACTCCTGATGAGACGCCGGACAAAGGCGCCTGTGCCAGAGCCCTGTATGACTACCAGGCTGGTGAGTTTTCTTTGTATACTACACCGTAACAATCAACATTGTTTTGGCTGTTAACCTTTTTAGAAATAAATGTTTTACTGTGGTCAAAAGACTCTCGCTTGCTGCCCACAAAGGGAGGCTGGCACCTGTGTTAACGCTGCGGCCTAACAGCTGATTTACATAACCACAATAACACAAAATAAAATTCAGATCTCACTCTATTATTGTGACCTACTTGAATACATTTAAGTCTGGTGATGATGATGATGATGATGATGATGATGATACCAGAGAAAAATGCGGCAGCCAAATTAAGGATTTTTTTCCCCCCAGAAGATACATTTTTATTTTGAGGGTGATGATAACATATGACAACAACCATAAAAAAAAAAAAGAAATCACCTTTTGGCATAGCCGTTAATAAAATGCCAAATGTTTGTACATTTTCAGTCATTTTCTTTGGACATCAAGACGACAGAATAGCTTATTTTAAACGTTTAAAATTAAGCTGGTTAAAACTATTGATTGGGACCAAAATGAAATTATAGTGTATTCCAGTGACTGCTATATATGTAAACTATTGTTACGTTTGCATTGTGGGAATGATAGTCTAATAATCGTCTGATTGAAAAAGTAAAATGTGAATATCATGACGTATCTTTCCTGCCGTTGATGAGAGTTTGCTCTTCTCCTCCAGCTGACGACACAGAGATCTCATTCGATCCCGACGATATCCTCACCGGCATCGAGATGATAGACGAGGGCTGGTGGCGGGGCTACAGCCCAAACGGCCATTTTGGAATGTTCCCAGCCAATTACGTGGAGATGATGTAGCCCCGCCCCCAACCCCACCTCAACATCATCACACTGGCAGCTCCCGGAGGACCTCTGCAGGAAAACAACACGCTGCACACTCTACTCCCATTGAGCTGATCAGGATGAAAACGGAGCGTCGTGGACCAATGAAACGTGATCGTGGGCCAGAAGCTTTCTAAATCCCTCCTCTTTTCAAGAAAGCAATTCCATTAAATTGTTGATGTTGTGAGCGACTGATGGCATAGTTTAGGGATTTGTGAAGACCAATACTCCCTCCCTGTCCACCCTAAATTCCATTTCCTTTCCTTTACATGTGATGCAGTACATTATCAGCCTTTTGTTAAGTCTTAAATTTAGCACTTGTCGTTCACATTCCTTACAAAGTGACTTCAGTTTCTTTTCAGGTATACTTTTTTCGCTACTTGTAGCAAATGCTCCTGTGCATTTCAGGAAAAACAAAGATGGCGGTACCAGCTGCAGTGTAATTTTTTGCCTTGTTTTTTGCCTTTCTTTACCAGCAGACTGAACTTTTTTTTTCGTGATTTATCCTGTGTGAATTTCAAACCATGTTTTAGTACTGGTCTCACTGTGGTTGAAGTGAATATTTAGAACAAAAAAAATCCCGATGTTTGCTGTGCTCTGGATGGATTTAGTTGGGAATGCATAAAACAATTCAGTTCCCTTTAACTGTGAGTGTATAACGGTTGTTTCCATTTCATGTCCGTCTTCATCTGAACCAGAGTATTTCAACATATTTAACGTTTCAGGGACAAGCTGAAGAGAAGAAATCATGTGTCACCATTATTTTACTTTGTTTAGATCTCGCTGGTCTGAGGTTGAGTGCATAACAGAGATATTGTTATGGTGCCATAATGACGGGAAAGTAACATTTTAATTGAAATCGTGCGAGTTCCCTGTTTTATCATGGAATAAATAAGTGGCCCTTTGAAGCTTTGAGGGAAAACACTTATTGATAAACAGAAAAGGGCATCATGTATCCATTATTGTTTCAGAGTATATTGTAATGCAAAGACATTCTTCATAATAAAATAAATAATCAAAACCACGATTTTTGTTTTTTCTCAGATCATTGCAGTGCATACATTTCATCAAACCTTGACAGAACAGCAGGGATTGTCTTAGGTTTAACAGGAACTCAGATGTATACACAGATTCTCTGTGAGCTTTTCAATCAGTTTCCTGGAATTAAACAACAGCTGGGGAATTCACCGCTAATGCATAGGTTTCATTTTCACACCATCATCTGATTTCACCTCTCCCACATCCGGCAGTTCCATCTCTGTTCGCTTGAATTACGAGAGATGTGTCCTACTCATTTAAAGTGATTAAATATATGACAAATCTTCATAAACATTTTTTTGTAATACTTTATTTTTAATTGTACTTTTAGTTACAATAAATCAAAGACATACACAATATACACTAAGTAGGTACCCGAAACCTTTACATGGCGTACAAGAGAAAAAAAAGAAGAAAACAGTTGATTTTCAATATATCTTTAAACAATTTGGAGATATGTTACTTGCTTGCTTTGTTACATTATTACATTATGTTACTTGTTAGATGCTTTTATCCAAAGCGATTTACATACTCAATACTGTGGGCAATTTGGGGTGAAGTGTCTCAGGGACACAACGACATGCTGACTGCAGTGGGGTTTGAACCTGTGACTCCCTGATCTGAACACCTACGCACAATTCACTGCGCCACACGCCTCCACCTTTTTCCCATCAAAAATATATTTTCTGGGGCTTTTGTTTACTTACACATTTTGAATGTGCAAATCAAACATGCCTGCAGAATAAAGCCCCTAAAGAAACACACTTTGAAGTCGTATAGGCATTCAGTAAAGTTTCTGTAAAGCCTTGTATTAAATTGTCATCTTTACATAATTTATTATAGTGCACTTTCAATACTTCCAGAATATTAGTTTCAGCTTGTATGAAATTGTGTTTTTAAATGTAATTTAATATTAGCTTGTCACTAAATGAATCAACCTATTGTCTGTATTTAGTTTCAGAGTAATTTCCTTTTCCACCTACACTATCTAGAAACGGGTATCACATAGCTTTCCCTTTTTAACACCTTTAACGCTCAATCAAATGGTTGTACTTTTGTTAGTGTATTTGTATCCCTAAAACAAAAACAACTAATTTATTCTGGAAAACTTTGTTCAAGTTATGACAGTCTCTCACCATGACTTCAATCTGACTGCAGTTACAGATTGTTCCCAGGATAGTGACTGAAAATTCACAATATTTTCTGTAATCTATCGCGCTGCCCTCATCTCAACCTCGTGTTTATGTCAGTGAAAGTCTGAAATGAATAGCTGGGGATTTCTCAATCTCACAACTGATGTTTTTGCTCAACGGCTCTTAACATTTGCTATCGCTTGCAGGGGATTGAAGAGATCAAAGCTCGGCAAAACATATTGTCACAATTAAGTGTCAAAAGGAAATTCCTATTTAGCTCATTGTACAACTATGAATATATGTAATTCAACAAGTTCAAATAGAACAAGGCAAGTTTAGTTATATAGCACATTTCAACACAAGGCAATTCAAAGTGCTTTACAAACATGAAAGAAACATATTATGAATTGACATTTAAAAACACTCCTTTAAAAGCAGCGACACATGAATGAAAGTCAGTGACAGTGCAGTGTGAGATACACACATCTGAAATGTTTAGGTCTGACTCAATCATTGCTCACTTTTTAGCAGAAATAGTTTTCCATCACCTCCCTTTCTTTCTACTTTCTTGTTTAACTTGTCCTTTAGTTATTTTAAATGTGTCCTGCTAAATGAACCCCCCTTTGGAAAATTCTAATCTGACCCCATGGTACCTTTTAGTTTTCGCCGATTTTTATATATATTTTTGCACATAGTAAGTTTACCTTGTCTTTCTAGGACTTAAGACATTTGTCACATAGATTTTGCACTTCTATAACTAACCTTGCATTCATATAATATCTGGTATATATATTTTTTTCATTTATTTATACACCTATTTATCGGCCATTTAAAAAAAAAAAATCACATGTAATGACAATTCCACTAATATCAAGTTTGGATGATGGAAGGATGAATGTCCGGTGCCTTGCTCAGGGGCATCACGGCAGGGCGGGAGGTGAACTGGGACCTCTCCAAGTAGCAGTCCACTCTCCATATTTAGGTCTGGTCGGGGACTTGAACCGGCGACCCTACATTTTTCACACATTTCTGTGACACCTTTAAACCTTATTTTAAAAACATAATGACCAAATATTTGTAGGAGCTTTTCACAGATTTCTTGGACATTGTTTTGGACATTTATGACAAATGTTCACTTATTTATCTGCAATTTTTAACACATTTTTGACATTTTCAAAAATAAAATGATGATTTGAACTAATGTTAAACATTTTGCATTGAATTCGTGATTTATTTAGAATAAAGTGTAGGACACCTTTTTCTCAGCAAGTTGCTTTTATGAATAGAGAATACTCCATGGTTTACGATGCTCATAACATTTGATTTTGACAGTTGTGGTTTAATTAAACAACAACAGCAACAACAGGTCTTTATCTGACTCACAGCCCCGAATGCGACGGACAGCATGGTCTGCATGCGTGCGTCCTCCACCGTGCCCACTACGCCCTTCCTGTACATCAGAGCGCCGCCCGCCAGCGTCCAGAACTTCACGTGTTTGATTCCCACCGACACGAACTGCGAGTCTGAGTCCGGGCGAAACTCCACCACGAAGATCCGGTCGGGGTGTCCGGCCTTACTGCACACCTTGGATCCTGCAGAGAGACATATGGTTTAATGATACTTTAAGGAAAGGCACACAAAGAAGTCTAGGTTCAAACTGGGAAGAAAGAACTTTAACTTATTTAATAATGAAGTCATCTCTTATAGCGACAGCAGAAACAAACAAAGTCGCTGGGAGGCTGAGGCCGGGCCTGTTTGATGTTGTGTGACACGCTAAAAAAGAGCACTTGCTGAGATCAAAACTCTGTTGAATTGTAATGTAGTAAAATACGCGGTGATCAGACGTAGACATTGTAATAATAATGATCAAAGCAATCATAATTCTTGCGTTCAACAGTCGGCCCTGTGTCACCCTCTCTTCCACACACACACCTCACGCAGGTGAACAGGATTATAACGAGTGCCGCCCATATCCATGTGACCCAAGCCAACCAATCAATCGTGACCAAACAAATATCTTATATTAAAACCAAACGCATCGCTATACATGTTTCATGGCTCCTACTTCTCTCATATTTTTTAATATATTTTGATACGGATTTTAGACATTTTTTGCATATATTTCAGAGAGACACACGTGATTTAATTATACTTTAATAAAAAGACACAAGGAGGTGTATGTTCAAACTGGGAAGAACGAACTACACATTTTATAATGACGTCATCTCTCATATTTTGGAGGATTTTAGAGTTTTTTAACATATATTTCTGACTTTCTTTTTTTGTTTATGTCCTGAAAATATGTCGAATAATAGTTTGTGCAGGTCCAAACATTTGCTCAAGAATTGTTAAGAAAAGAAATTCTGAAAAAGTCGATATAAAATAAAGTCAGAAAAATGTAAAAAAAAAATCACAAATATTTGGGATTTTTTAGAAAAATGACACCTAAACATATATTATAATATACAAAGGTTTTAATTATACTTTCATTAAAAGACACACCGAGAGGTACATTTTCATATTGGGCAGAGATAACTTTAATTTATTTTATAATGTAAATATGTAAAAAGATAAAAGTTTGTGCATGTTCAAAAATGTTCCAAGAAATGTTAAGAAAGATATGTCAGTAAAAATATGAGAAAAAAATGCGGGAGTTTCCGTTGAGTTATGGATCTGAGGAGTACTTCCTGTATGTGAGTATTTAACAAATGTATGGCCCTCTCTGACCTTCCTGCCACCTCCACACGGTGATGGTGTGTTCAGGCTCCACGTACCTTCCTGCCACCTCCACACGGTGGTGGTGTGTTCAGGCTCCACCTACCTTCCTGCCAGCGCCACACGGTGATGGTGTGTTCAGGCTCCACCCCGACGGACAGCAGCAGCTTCCCCGTGGCGCTGAAGTTCACGTAGCCGACGCCTTTAGTGTGCGGACAGCGCAGGATGGACAGCGTCTGTTTGCTCATCGCGTCCCACACGTGGATCGAAGGGGTCGTACCTGTGTAGAAATCACAAGAGGAAACACAGAGAGAATGTATTCATTTAATTATTTATGTATTTATTTAACTTTGGCTTAACGGCATTCTATAAGAGGGGTGCAGTTGAAGAAAACGTATGCTACACAACAAAAACAAGACAAAAACAAAACAGTAGTCGTGACTTCCTGGGGTGTGCTTGTTTAATTTGCGGAGGAATAAACAAACAACATCGGGGAATTCTCTGTTCAGATAATGTCACATAAAAAAATATTCGATTTGATAAACGTTTACATTTGAGCATCATTGATGTAAACCGAAAATGTATACCAAAGTTTAATGACAAATTGTGGATACATTTTTTGTTGTCTGGGTTTTCTGGGTTTTAAGGGGCTATGGTGGAGGGAGAGGCGGGGTGCGTTGGATTTGTTTACCTGGCACTTCACTGATGTCGCCTGAGGTGTTGTGAGAGCGACGGGACAAAACATACACACATGAACAGAAAACAAAACAAAAAACAGATAAAAACCTGACGTGAGAGGTTAGTAAAGAGAGATAGAAACTATTATTTATTCTGCTAAAAGTAATGTTTTAACCGTTTATTATTTGAGGCAGTATTTAAAATATTTCTTCAGCCTTCTAAATTGTTATTTTTCTTACTACTAAAAAACGTGATGCATTTAACAAGTGTTTTGCAAAATGGTTTATTTAATGTCATTTTTATTTCTGCTTGGTGCCAATCGATACAATTGACCGTCCAAGAGGGCCTTATCTATGTTGTTATGTTTTTTAGTCCTGCTTTTATATTAATGCATGAGAAATAATAATTAAATGATATAATATAATGGTATAACATTTTGAATCTTTTAATACTTCAAATTGACCTATTTTTTTACATACGTTTGTAGTGTTGTATTGGTACGTTTACTGCAGTAAAGTATCTACATATTTCTCCAGAACTAAATGTTTTTAATACAATAAATCTCACAAGTTAAGGAGACGAAAAGTAGAACCCTACTTCCGGCAAATTGAAAAATTACATACATACTGTATCTTCGCAAGAAACAATTTTAAGACACTCCCCTACACACTGATTATAGTTTGTACTTTTAAATTCAGAGTTAGTATTCATTCTCATAGTTGAAAACAAGTGAAGCAAGCAGGTTACACATGAAGCAGAGGAGAGAAAAACATGAAACGCACGCCACACACACACACACACACACACACACACACACACACACACACACACACACACACACACACACACACACACACACACACACACACACCACACGCTGGTGAACAGGATTATAACGAGTGCCGCCCATACCCATGTGACCCAAGCCAACCAATCAATAGTGACCAAACAAATATCTTATATTAAAACAAACGCATTGCTATATACGTTTCATGGCTCCTACACAGTCTTTAAAACAGTCTTTCAGAATGTCTTGACTTGCTGTTGTGTATCTGTGCAAAGATGTCATTAGAAAAGTGTTTTCACATTTTAAATCTAACATTTTAGATTTCACCCACAAGGCATCAAGATTAGGTATGTAACATTGTAGGAGCAGCAGCAAGCGGGTCAAGGCCAGAACCTGCATTTCTCAAGGAAGGAGAAAAGAGTAAATGTGTTTAAAGTATATTTTTTGAGTTTTTGTTTCACTTTTATGTTGGGAAACCATCTAAAAAACGTTTAAAAGTATCTGGAGGGAGCTTTTAAAGAGGTTAAAACTAGATAATTTGTTTTGGTCTGCGCGCTCAGTGAGCAGCCGCAGCAGTGAATAGAAACTGTATAATTATGTGTAAGTGAAATGTGTTCATTTCCTCGCAGCACTGAGGATAAATGAAATCAAACACAAAACGGATTCTTATTCAATGTGACGGCAAGTTGTTAAATCCCCAGCTCCTCATGGGTTTTTATCCGAAGACAATCTAATCTCAGAGTGTATTCCCACAATGTGTTTATGGTTATGAATCCTGAGGAAATGTTAGCACCAGCTGTCGTCTGCAGCAAATTAAATCACGTATGGAAATCTTGCTTTTTAGTTGTTGTGCAGTTGGTGAAATGGATCTAATCGCTGAGTCTTGTGCCTAGAGAATGTTCACTTCTTACCATAATAACAAAAGATCCAGCAGGTGGCACTGTTGGTCCATTTTAAGCACATGTTGAGAGGAAAATTGGTCGAGAGTGACACAGTCAGATTTATCCATTTACATCACATATACGATGTCAGATGTAGATAAAACGCGCTTGATGAGCTTTTAATGTGTAAAAAACCTCACAGCACATTTTGCCGGATGCTTGGTGTTCTGCTTGTAGCCCTGAAGCTAATCAGTGTGTGTGTGTGTGTGTGTGTGTGTGTGTGTGTGTGTGTGTGTGTGTGTGTGTGTGTGTGTGTGTGTGTGTGTGTGTGTGTGTGTGTGTGTGTGTGTGTGAAAGTAACAGAGAGTGTGTGTGTGTGTGTGTGTGTGTGTGTGTGTGTGTGTGTGTGTGTGTGGGAAAGTGAAAGAGAGGCAGGGGAGGTGAGTGCAGCAGGAAGTGTTAGATCCTTAAGCCCTCTATAAAATGAGGTCAGAGAGTTGTGGAATCTAAAAGTACAGAGGTGGAGACGATGATTTTATACACTTAATCCAGTTGTGTGTGTTAGTCCCTCCCCAATCAAACAGTGTTATATAAAATAAACCCTTCCCAACAGAGGCAGACATCATTTATTCCTACGCTGAATAGACCAGAATGCAATGCAGGCAAAACAGATTTTTGCATTTTGAGTAGAAGCCATGACCCTCTCTCGCTATTGTTGATACTTTTGCTCTCTTCGCCTACTCACTTAACCCAAAGTACAGTTCCCTTTTGGAGGGTTGGTGCAAAGTTGTTTTGTGCAACGTAGAAAACCACAGAAGAAGAAAAATATGAGGATTGATGGATAGCGGTCCTTTTTGTTGGTCTTACCTGCAGTTTATTTCAAACTGAAGTTCACCTTCTTTAAAGAGGCTCTGTTATGCTTTTTGGGGTTTCCCTTTCCTGTAGTTTGTTATATGGATTTTTGTGCATGTCAATGGTCTGCAAAGGCTAAAATCCCAAAGTGACCTCCCCCTGCCTGAAATGCCTCCATTGGACTCCTTTGAACATACTGACATCACTATGTAACACTTGCGCTTCTACTGGCCAGCGCTCCAACACATTGTACATGATAGGCTAAGGGGCGGGACATCTCTAAGCGGTTGACCAATCACA